TTCCTAAATTATATTTATTTGACAATCTTATTGGTGAAGTAGATTCAGTCAGACAGTCACACATAGTAAATCATCACTGAAGCTCGTTTGCAGACAGTATAATTGCACTTTTAAACGTCGAGCCTACAGTGTGCCGTTACACACACACACACACACACACACACGAACACACGAACACACGCACACACGCACACACACACGAACATGACAAAACCTCAGATCTCAGACACCTGATTCAAATATCAATAAATAGAACAAAAGGAATCAAATATATGAGATATTAATGGGTTCCTGTGGTAATTAATAACAGGTAAGAGAGTTATGACCTTGACCATACATCACAGCTTCATAGAGGATCAGCAGATCAAAACAAACTTCATCATCATCATCATCATCATCAGAACAGCAGAATCCGTCTGGAATCACATTCTGATTGTGAGGATTTGAGGACAAACATGAAACACTTTAGATAAAAAATAAAGAATCTTATAAATATTAATGTCATCCTGTTGGCAGCAACAAACATAAGAGTAAAAATATGCATTTATTACCATTTAAATTAAGTGTTTCTATGAACGACTCGTGCCAGAAACATCGTCAATGATTTACAACACAGGAAAAATCATAACTGCTTTTATGAGAGTTAGTGAATGTGAACGTGTTGCAGTGATGAAGTAAACGGCACAGCATAAACACGCGTGTCACTTCCTGTCGTGTTTTTGGCAGCTAGTCCGAGAAGGTAAATTCTGATAGTTTGAGTCTGACGTTCAACATCTGAGAACTTGATAAAGTGATACACCAGCAGCTTTCAGGACGTGTGTCATCAGTGTGAACCTGCGCTTCTGAATCTTAAGCAATCTTTTGCTTCTGAATCACCTGCACTACTGAATCACCTGCGCTTCTGAATCACCTGTGCTACTGAATCACCTGCGCTACTGAATCACCTGCGCTTCCGAATCACCTGCGCTTCTGAATCACCTGCGCTACTGAATCACCTGTGCTTCTGAATCACCTGCGCTTCTGAATCACCTGCGCTTCCGAATCACCTGCGCTACTGAATCACCTGCGCTACTGAATCACCTGCGCTACTGAATCACCTGCGCTACTGAATCACCTGCGCTACTGAATCACCTGCGCTACTGAATCACCTGCGCTACTGAATCACCTGCGCTACTGAATCACCTGCGCTACTGAATCACCTGCGCTACTGAATCACCTGCGCTACTGAATCACCTGCGCTACTGAATCACCTGCGCTTCTGAATCACCTGCGCTTCTGAATCACCTGCGCTTCTGAATCACCTGCGCTTCTGAATCACCTGCGCTTCTGAATCACCTGCGCTTCTGAATCACCTGCGCTTCTGAATCACCTGCGCTTCTGAATCACCTGCGCTTCTGAATCACCTGCGCTTCTGAATCACCTGCGCTTCTGAATCACCTGCGCTTCTGAATCACCTGCGCTTCTGAATCACCTGCGCTTCTGAATCACCTGCGCTTCTGAATCACCTGCGCTTCTGAATCACCTGCGCTTTCGAATCACCTGCACTTTCGAATCACCGAAAGAGTGAAAATAATAGCAAAATACAGTGAGAATGCACTATAAATATTTATTACAATCTTTTGCAATGCAGCCTTTAAAAAAGTAACATTAACATGGTTTGCTAAAAAACATTTGATGTTTTGGGGTTTGGCTTTTGAACACAATGAGGACATTTTTTAATAATTAGATTTTTTTTCAATAGTTTGGGGTACATTTATGACTTATTCATCAAAGCTGCATTAAATGAATCAAAAGTGATAGTAAAGACACTTATAACGATACAAAAGATTTCTATTTCAAATAAATGCTGTTCTTTTGAACTTTCTATTCATCTGTGAATCCTGAAAAATAAAATGTATCATGGTTTCCATAAAAATATTGTGCAGCACAACTGTTTTCAACATTGATAATAATCAGAAATGTTTCTCAAGCAGCAAATCAGCATATTAGAATGATTTCTGAAGATCATGTGACACTGAAGACTGGAGTAATGATGCTGAAAATACAGCTGCGCATCACAGAAATACATTACAGTTTAACAGAGATTCACATAGAAAACAGCTGTTTTACATTATAATAATATTTCAGATTTTTACTGTATTTTTAATCAAATAAACAGCTTTGGTGAGCAGAAGGGACTTTTTTCATAAACATTACAACCCCAAACTTTTGAAAGGCAGTGTATGATAGGAATTTTTTATTTATTTTGTGAGCTGATGTGTGAAAAAGGCCTTAGAAAAGCTCTCGAACTCTTCAAACCATTTCTGAAAAGTGACCCTAGCTTGATGAACACAGTACCCATTAATGATTGAAAAGGATCCAGTGTCTCTTAAATCCAGCACCATACAACCCTTCAGGTCAGTGTGGATTACTGTTAAGGTCTTTGCACACCGAGTCCGAAATTCTTGTCCGAAACTTTTGCACATTAAAAAAATATATACGACCTCACGTTGTGTCATTCACGTTTACACACTGCCTCCGAAACTTTCATCCGTGATAAAAAAATTCGGAACAGGTTCTATTTTCTGCGTTTTCGCATCCGTAGCAAGCATTTTGATAGGAAAGGATGACAAATACGAAAAAAAACGAAAAACGCATAAAACATTTCGAACTCCGTGTGCAATGACCTTTACCCTTTACACTTATCCTATCTCACAACACTGCAAAAAATTATTTTCTTAGTATTTTTGTCTTGTTTACTAGTATAAATATCTAAACATTCTTGAATCAAGATGCATTTACTGTACAAGTAAAAGGACTTAAGATATTAAATCTTGTTTTCTAAAAAATAAAATACAATTTTTGTTAGTTTTTGCTTAAAACAAGCACAAATATCTGCCAATGGGGTAAGAAAAATAATCTTAATTCAAAGTTTAAACAAGATTTGGATATTTTTAATTTTTTTTACAGAAAACGAGACATAATATCTTACGTCATTTTACTTGTACAGTAAATGCATCTTGATTCAAGAATTTTTAGATATTTATACTTGTAAACAAGACAAAAATACTAAGTAAGAGAATCATGTTTTGCAGTGAAGCGTCCTATCTCAACACGGGCAGCTGAAGGTGCGGCTCGTATCCTCGTCCCAGCATGTGCTCCTTGATGCAAGGCGGGTGGATCTCGCCGATGAGGCACTCCAGAGACTGCAGGCTGCTGCTGAGGCTCTCCTCTTGCGGCCTGCAGCACAGGTACGACGGAGGCTGGTGGGCGCACGGATGGAGGCGCGTTGCAGGCGTCTCCTGAGGGTTATAACAGTCGCTATCCGGCGTAGCAAGCACGCTATTCCAAGCAGGAATGAAAAACTGGCCAACAGAGAAATCACCGTGCATCGCGGGGGACGTCGGGACCTTGTCTAGAATCGTTAGACTGGGAGGGTAGGATCGGTAGGAAACGTCAGGCGAGCGGTTTCCCGATCCATACATGTGCGGATAATGCGCCCAATAATAATCGGAACCAGCTACATCCGCGCTTTGAGTGGGCAGAACGGCTCCGGAATACGCCAGAGCAAAACTGGAGTCGGCGCAAGACGCGGACAAGAACGAAGGACTGGACTGGACGTTGGACGGACGGCTCATGTGATGGGACACGACGCCGTACGGCCGGTGTCTGTTCCCGCTGGGAGGCGCATACGGAGCCACCGCCATTTGGATAGGGGATAGTTTGGTTCGTTTTCCATCGGCGCTCTTTAGCACGCCTTTGGCCGCGGAGGAAGTCTTGACGATCGCCAGCAAGCCTTGGTAGGCACCAGCGTAGGGGTGCGAGTACGAGCCCAAGCCCTGGTCGCCGGTGTCCAGGCCGTTGACGGTCCTGCTGATTTGCTTGTGCTGTGGGACCCTGATGTCGGTGGGGAAGATCTGGATTGAAAGCGGGCTGTCGACTGTTCTTTGCGCGTAGGCGTCCAGTTCGGCCGCGGATGGGTAGCGCATGGAAATCAGCTCATCTGCGGACAAAGAGAAAACAGCATGAATAATTCAACGCTGCATTATTCTCAGCAAGGCCGTACCATGTCTTGAACATTGTGGGGGTATTTTAAATAAGGTGTAAAGAAATAGAACGGTGAAAGAAAAACTATGTCTAGTTGTAGTTGCAGCAATTAGCAAATATTTTAAAGTATGTACACATTCACTCTTAATTGTGTGCCTAATATGTAAAAAATGCCAAACATTTCATGTCTTGTAACATTCAGTTAGGAATTACATGAATCATGTAAATGATGCATTTTCAATTAATAATGGAGAAATTTAAAGGGAAAAGTAGAGTAATTTGCATCATTGGAAAGTATATTTTAACATTTCTGTAGTGAAACCGTTTCAGTTTCCCTTTCTCTTTCAACATTAAAACTGATGCTTGAGCTTTAATTCACACACTGCGTTTGTGAACAGTAAACCCCGCCTACTTTAATTTGATTGGCCATCTCAATCATTTTGACACTGACAAATAGGCAAGTAACGATTCACTCAACTCACGATGCGATACGATTCACAATACTATTTCACGATACGATTTTCTCTCTTTTTTTTTTTACAAAATGAGATTTAAGACATATTATAAATGAAAAGTTCTCCTTTTATTATTGCTTGGACAAAATGCTGAACATTTCTTTGTGAGATTGAAATATGTCAAATAACAAAACTAAACTTAAATTTTAAAACAAACCCCAAATCAAATAAATAACACAAATAAAATCTGTTCATATAAACAAACTAAGGCTTTGTCTGTGCTCTTTCCATTTAAAATTAGAGGCAACCACTGCATTTTAATCATAATCCAAACAAAGATGCTGCACACATGCAGCATGAGCAGTTTCTAATCTAAATTAGATTGTATAATTCTGAAATTTGAGGCAAAAACAAAATGGTCTGACTTTAGTGTTGTGAAACTATACTACATAAAACATATCTAAATGAAACAAAAACATCAGACAAGCTGAATGAGACGCAGATTCACTCTCTGCCAGCAGGTGGCGCTTGTGGAACAGCAGCGATACAGCGTTTCCTAGGTTACCACTGTAAACAAAGCAGCCCTGCGCTTACGAACACTACAAATACATTATACAGAGGCAAAATGGAAAGAAAATATCATCTAAGATTTTCTAAATAGTCACTTCCCCTCAGAGATACATTAATATAAACTCCTATCACCAATTGATTCATTTCAACCGATTTGAATCGTCACATATTTGTATCGATTTTCAACCGGCTCGTGGTGCATTGTTACATCCCTATTGACAAGTGCTGTCAGATGCCTTGACAAACCTAAAAATCTTTTAAAAACTTTTTGTCATCCTAACAACAAACAACGCTGCATAAGAGTGCAGCAGAAATATTGGGAGGACAATTTGCCAATTCCTAATTATTGGGGGGACTTGTCTACGATGGTTACGGCCCTGATTCTCAGCGCACACAAAGCCATGTATGCTGGCATTTCACCAAGCAAACACCATCAGCGGATCATGACTAGTATCCCAAAAACTCTGCAGAAAACAATGATGTTTCCAATTTGAAACCGTGCTGTCCGACAGAGCGCCTCGTGCCGGAGGTGTTTGGCAATAAATATGGAAGAGTGATGAATGCTGGATGAGTTAAAAATGATCAGACGTCGCACAAGAAAAATCGTCCAATAAAAATGAAGATATTGGAGCGTCTGTGTCGCTCTCCGTCTCCTTATTTCCTCGGCTGGTTGTTCATCCTCAGACATCTGCATCTCTCTAAAAACTCATTTTGTGGAGGGAGACACCTCGGGCAATGTTTGATCAGTGCATTATGAAATTAATTTGGTCTTTCTTCAGGACAAAATTGGATTACCTTGGGAAATCAAGAGGGAAAAAATAGATGAGGTGGGGGATGGAAAGGGAGCTAATTTTGTTTCAGTGGCATGAGTGAAATTCATTTCATGGCGTTTGGATGTGCAATCCACTCAAAAGGGGCTCGGATACGGGTGGAGCTACATGCTAAATTAACATTAGAAACGATGCTATACAAGCAGCAAATTGGAAACACGGCTTTATATGTGTTTGTGCATCTGTGTGCTGCTCGAATGCATCTCGAATGGATCCCTGGACTATAATAAGGACAGGATTCCCATAGACGGCATCTTATCCCCACAATAAATGCAAGCCAATATCACTGGCAGCCAATTTTGAGATGTCTACATATGCAGTAGCTTTCAAATGAAAACAGGACCTACAGCCAGAAGTGTACGGGAAAGCGGCGACGACTAACTGAGATTGGATTTAAACACCATTATTCAGGCAATTTCATGGCTGTTTAGCTTCCCACAACACAAGGAAGCTGGAAAAAGGTGCTCCATTTCTGAGCAGTAAATCTACTGGCGGAAAATACGGCCGGAATGACACCTTTATGGAATTTCTGACATGAAAATAAAAGTGCTGAAATTAAGGCCGATTACGCCACAGTCAATCAAAATCACTCCACGGCGGACAATTGAAGGATCTCTACCAGAAAAACACAATCCAATCGGCTTTGAGTCCCAGCAGTCGTTTAGAGCGTCTCCTCCGTCACGTGATGCCAAGCTAGCGTTGTTCCCGTTCGGGATTGATTTGGGACTTCATTTCATTCCAGGCCCACAATGAGCCTCCAACTGTGAAAATGATTCAATCTACAAGATCCATCTCATAAAGGAAATAAATTGAGTGTTTAAAATGAAGGGAAGAGGAGAGGTGGAGAGACCCGCTGAGCCCACCGGGGTCACTAAACACAATGAAGCTCCAGAAACACTCACACGGACTGGAGGAATCTGACTTCAAGAGAAAAAAAATCTATCAAAACGAGATGGTAGAAAGGAACATATTTGAAATTTAAGGCGAAAGCGTTCAAAGTGCTTGGGTTTCAGCATTTCGAGAGTGGCCAATCTATGAAAATATTTCATATAGTTATATTTATGGTTGTATTTATAGTTATCAGTATAGTTATTTTATATTAATAGTTATGTTAGTATTTATAGTTATCGGTATAGTTATTTTATATTATTAGTTATGCTTGTATTTATAGTTATCTGTATAGTTATGGTTGTATTCATAGTTATCATTATAGTTATTTTATACTCATAGTTATGATTGTAGTTACAGTTATCGGTATAGTTATGATTCTATTTTTTATCAGTATAGTTATGGTTGTAGTTACAGTTATCGTTAGAGATATGGTTGTATTCATAGTTATAGTTGTTATATAGATGTTATATTTATTGAAATAGTTGTATTTATAGTTGTTTTTTAAATTATCGGTATAGTTATGGCTATATATAGTTATAGGCTATAGTTATCGGTTATGTTTACAAATATCGGTATGGTTATGGTTGTATTTATAGTAGTGTTGGGCGGTATGACCAAAAATTTATATCACGGTATTTTTCAAAATTATACCGGTTTCACGGTTCAAGACGGTATTTTTTTTCATGCATGACCGGGTGTTAACCATATTTTCTACTGATTGAGAGGAAATACTGCAGTATATTGACTTAGAATGATGAACCGGTATACCGCCCAGCACTAATTTATAGTTATGTTTGTAGTTACAGTTATCATTACAGTTATCGTTATAGTTATGTTATATTTATAGTTATTGTTATGTTTACAAATATCGGTATGGTTTTTCAAGAAAAAAAAAATCCATCAAAACGATTGAAATTTCGAGAGTGGCCAATCTATGAAAATACTATGAACCAGTTGGTCTGACCAATCATCACTTATTACAGACCCATGAAATGACTTCCTGTGTTAACGTAGCATCAAAACAGGAATTTCACTTTCAAGTAAAAATGTTACTTTTAGGTGTACAACAGCTTAATCACTAGGGCAGTGTCTACAAAGGGACATCTTTGCATGCTACTTACACCCAAAAAAGGTGCATATTACTACTCGAAACTCTTGAAAATAAAGGTAATTTATTGTCATTGATGGTTCCATGAAGAACTGTTAACATCCATGTAATTTTCCAATGCACAAAAGGTTCTTTATAGTGGAAAAAAGGTTCTTTAGATTATGAAAATATTCTTCACATCAAGAAAATAATGGTTCTTTTAAGACCTGTTCACTGAAAGGTTCTTTGGGGAACCCAAAATGGTTTTTCTATGGCATTACTGTGTAAACAACACCCTTTTGGAACCTTTATTTTTAAGAGAGTAGAAGAACTTTTTGAGCAATTTTTATTCTTTAGTTCTTCAGAAACCATCTGTGAACAGTTCACCAGAAACCAATATGCTGAACCTTAGAGAGCCAAAAACTGTTCTTGATCAACAAGAACAACCAAAATCACGTTTAATTCCACAGGAGAACCTTTTTAGGTTCTACAATCAATTTTTATTCATTATTATTTAGAAAAAATCATCTACATACTGGTATTTTTAGGCCCAGAAATCAATATACAGATCTGAAGAACCAACAAAGGCAAAGAACCATAAAGCAACTCAAGAACCCTAGATATGCTAAATTGGATCTTAAACAACAATAACCTACATTGCTCTCTGAACAATCATACACTCATAAAAACAATATGTACAAAATACATAAAAACAAAGGCTTCAAAATAGGGTTTTCACATTCACAGAAAAAGCCATTTTGGGTTCCACAAGCATTTTCTTAGAAAGAACCATTTTTCTTTGTGAGAAAAGCATATTGATAATCCAAAGAACCTTTTGTGCAATTGAAATATTCCATGGATGTTAAAGGTTCTTATGGAACCGTCGATGCCAATAAAGAACCTTTGTTTTTTAGGGTGTATGTTAGTAATATGCACCTTTTATGGGTAAATAAGGTACAAGATCGTCACATTTTTTTTCTGACAGTGTTGGGTGGCACATTAAACGGTTTGCACTTTTGTTTGGAAATAGCCAATCTCTGAAATCCCAATTAACACGCAGCTAATTAACTGCACGCACAATCTGATACGGACTGAACTCTTAAAGTAGGCCAGAAACAAGAAC